AATATAAGGGTAGGTATATTAGGTATAATATATATAATAGGTATATAGTCAAAAATGTATATAAGCAACTTGGGAAGGTGCAAAAAGTAGAAAAAAGAAGGATAGGTACTGCGCAATAAATAATTAATAAACTGTCTTTATTAATAAACTTTGCCTTGTGAAAATACCTCCAGTGTTGTGTAGCTAACGGAATTACTACACGAGGAAGTAACCGTTTGGGATGCAAGATCGACGGATTGATCTGCGTCAACGGTACAGGACTCTGGCCAAATTCACATGCCTCTTTTGAACAGAAACGAGACCCGAACGTTATACGGCATGGGTTAAATCGACGCGACTGACTCGTCGTGATTTCACTGTAACAATTTTTGGTGGTGACTGTGAGATCGAAATACTATGGTGATGCTCACTACCCCCCGATCTTTTTAGAATGCAATAAGTCACAATTTTATTATATACGACGCTCACTATATTTCGATAGTCTAACATAGCATATTATTACAAGCACATTATTTCTTAATTAACTGACACGATACCCCCTTTATTAAAAACGGTCATCTTAAAATAAACAATTCAAAAAAAAAAAAAAAAAGAAAAGAAACGAAGCAACGACGAACGATAATAATCAAAACAAGGCGAGAAACAAATATAGCATATACTTATCAATAGAAGGACAGGATGAATGACGACCAGTTCCAGCAATTAATGAAAGGCATCTTCCAGTCAATAAGCGATATTTCCAAACAGAATGACGCGCGAGGAGCTGACCACGTAAGAGCAAGGGTGTTCGCCGGAACGGAGGATGATGACCCGGTAGAGTGGTTGGAGGAATTCGAGCAAATAGCAGGAGTTAACGACTGGAACGACGACAAGAAGCTGAAGGTGACCCCTGGATACATGAGAGGGTTAGCAGCCGACTGGTATAAGGGAAATGCGGATAAGATTAAGAAATGGAAAGACGATACAAACACGGCTCAGAGTTTCCATCACATGTTGGTTGGACATTTTGCCACATCAGAAAAATGCCATAAATGGCAGCTAGAATTGAACGAATTGAGTCAGCGAGACGATGAAAAAGTAGACAATTATGCTGTGCAATTTAAGCGCCTACTTATGAGAGTGGATCCGGAGGAGACGATTCCAAGCAACTATATAGTAAGGATGTTCATGAATGGGCTAAAGGGTAATACGGCTACGTTCGTTAATATAACCTCACCGAAGAACTTGGCAGAAGCGATTGCAGCAGTACGAAAAGCAGAGGCGGGAAACTATTACGGCCGGCAAACTACGAGGGGAGACAAGAATATGACGAATAAGTTAGAAGACGAAATTGGGAGGCTTGAAAGACAACTAAAAGAGTTAACACTAAACTATGCCGACTCAAGGAGAGCGCCACGAAAGGAATCGAGAGAAGTGAAGGGAAAAGTGGTTTGCTACAGTTGCGGAAAGGAAGAGCACATAGCCCGAAGGTGTCCAGAACAGAAGACGCTGAGAGAATTCCGAAGCTCTGCAAGCCCTAAGGTACAGTATGTTTATGAGGAAAAGGAGGAGGACGAGAAGAACGACGAAGAAGAAGAAGAGGCTTACGCATTGGGAGACGCCTCACAAGCCATAAGAAAAAGGGGAAGACCACCTAGACAGGACGAGGAAAGTGCAGGCAAGCCTCCAAAAGCATCAAAACTTATAAAGGTGCAGCAACCAATGGTAATCGTGGAATCCCCCGAGGCAATCGGAGTCACAAAAAAGAAAATGACGAGATGAAAAAGACTACCTTCGGTGGTGGATGCCCTGGAACCATACGATATTTTGGAAGACATCCTATCGATGAAAGCAAATGCCACCGTGGCGCAGTTATTGAAGTACGCCAATCAAAAGCGGAACCTCTCAAAGATACTGAAGAGAGCCAAGCCGCCGGAAACAACTGACTAGGTTAATGCAGCAGACAATTTGAAGACAATTGCCGCTAAATGCTATGTGCAAGTAGAAGATAAGATGGTAGTAGCCGTCCTAGACACGGGAGCAGTGGTGAGTATAATTACAAAAAGACTAGCGGATAAGTTACGACTTACGATAAACAAGAAATCCACATCGGTCGTCGTGACGGCAAATGGTACGAGGGAGAAGACCCTAGGGAAGGTAAAGGATGTAGGTATTACAATCCAAGGAGTAACCATCCCTGTCAAACTATGTGTTATCGAATCGCGAGACGAAATACTCCTGCTGGGGACCGATTGGTTCCAGAAGGCGAAGGCACGAATCCATTTCGACGAATAAAGAATATTGTTAAAATACAAAGGGAAAGAGCTGGAAGTACCCATTTCAAATAACGGGGTCGAAGGGTTGGCACGACCAGACGAACCGGAGTCAAGTGACTACGAGAGTGGAGGTACGTATGGTAAGTTTGAGTACGAAAGTGAGGATGTAGAAGAGGAGGAAGGTTACTATACCGGGGAATGATCAGGAGGAGGAACTACAAACTGGGGGAGTGGAGCGGAAGAAATGACCGATCAGGAAGAGACACCCCCATCGGAGTTGAGAACCGAAGAAGCAGAAACTCCTAGCCCCGCGATATACCTAGCCATCCTGGAAGAAGTACCGACACCGGAAGAAGAAGAGGAGCCTGCCGCCGGAGGACCGAAGACAGATCTGGAAAACTTAACGGAGGGAGAACGGGGAGAAGTAGCGAAACTCTTTGAGATGGAAAAAGAACTATTCGCGAAGAGTCTGGACGAACTTACCCAAACCGACGTGATCCAGCACGAAATCGATACCGGCGACACGAAACCTATAAAACAAGCTCCTTATAGGATGGTACCCGACGAACATGACTACATAAGGGACGAACTTATGAAGATGAAGAAGCAGGGACTTGTCGTAGAATCTAGAAGTCCATGGACTTCTCCGATTGTAATAGTACTAAAGAAGAATGGTAAGCGGCGTCTTTGTGTGGATTACAGGAAGCTAAATGCGGTAACAAAGAAGGACGCTTACCTGCTACCGAGAATTGACGATCTGATCGAGGCTCTAGGAGGGGCAACTTGGTTTTTGAATCTTGATCTAGCCAGCGGATACTGGCAAGTCCGAGTTCACAAAAGGGATTATGAAAAGATGGCTTTTGTGACTAAATTCGGAACATATGAGTTTTAAGTGATGCCGTTCGGCTATGTAATGCCCGGCGACGTTCCAAAGGCTGATGAATAAAGTGCTATATGACTATATTGAAAAATTTGTAGCCATATATTTGGACGACATTATCATATACTCGCTGACGTTTCCGGAGCATATCAACCACTTGACCTGCATTTTTAGAGAGCTGCGACAAGCTTCGTTGAAGTTGAACACAGAAAAATTGCAAGTTTTTCTTACCAGAGGTCGAATTTTTAGGGCATATAGTAGAAAGAAACGGCATTCAACCAGATGAGAACAAGGTTACGAAGGTGAGGAATTTCCCGGCCCCGGGAACGTAAGACAGCTGCGAAGTTTCATCGGCCTCGCCTCTTATTACCGGAAGTTTATTAGGGGATTCACGACGATTGCCAAGCCTCTACATCAATTGTTAGAGAAGAATACAATATACGAGTGGAGAGATAAGCAACAGACAGCATTTGAGTTATTAAAAACGTACCTGACGACAGCCCCGATTCTGCGGTACCCAGATTTTGAAAGAACATTTTATTTACACACCGACGCATCCAGAACGGGATTGGGGGCAGTGCTGTCACAGATCGACGAGGCAAAAAGAGAGTATGTAATCGCATACGCCAGTCGGAGTTTATCGAGAGCCGAGAGAAATTACGCGACAACAGAGCAAGAATGCTTGGCGGTAATCTGGGGAATAGAGTATTTCCACCACTATTTGGGCATGAAGCCGTTTATTGTGGTGACCGACCATGCCGCGTTGAGATGGCTAGAGAACTCAAAGTTAAAAGGAAGGAGAGCGCGGTGGACCCTCCGTCTCCAACCGTACAACTATACAATATTGCATCGTGCGGGGAGAAAACATTCTAATGCCGACACTCTGTTACGCTTACCCGAGAGAAAGGGGGAAAATAATACTAATAAGGGAGAATCTGACCCACTCAAGCTAAGGAAAGATCCATCGTACCAGCACGATAACACAAACAACAATTCTTACTTACCAACCCACAGTATTTAACGTGAAACGACGACAATAATAATGGTACAAGGCACGACGATAACAACACATACACAATAAACACTCACGAGAATGGTAAAGAAAGTACTAACCTTAAAAATCCGAGGAACAGAATCCAACCCAGGTTCCGGTGTCCTGGCAAAAAAAAATAATTTTGAGTACAACAAAGAAAGAACCAATAAGTATAATGGACGAAAAACAATATAGACGATTAAAGAGATACTTAAAAGAACAAAGGTTACCCGCGAATTGCTCGCAACAGCAAACAAAAAGAATAAGGGTACAGAGTGACTCCTTTGTTGTAAAGGAAGGAGACGTATATAAGAAGGACAAACACAAAAAGGGAAATTTACTAAAAGTACTATGACGCCACGAATTGGAACCTATATTATACCTAATGCATAATCATCCGTTGGGAGGACATCTGGGAAAAGATGTCATGTTTAATAAGATCCGAAACCTATACCATTGGCCGCAATTGTATGAAGATATTTGTACGTACGTGCGTTCGTGCGACCAATGTCAGAGAAGGGGGAGGAATAAACAGCGAGGACCCTTACATCCCATAGAAGTTGGGAAACCGTTCTCGAGGGTGGGAATTGATATAGTGGGGCCCTTGCCCGTGATTCCCAGAAAGAATCGATATATAGTAGTTGCCACTGACTATATGACGAAGTGGCCAGAGACTCGTGCCCTGAAAGTAGCGACAGCCCAGGAGGTAGCAGAGTTTATCTATGACGATATAGTGTGTCGACACGGATGTCCAATGAACCTACTATCGGACCAAGGAGCGAATTTCAGAAGTCGCATGCTAAATGCATTCTTAAAAAAGTTTCGCATCAACCACCTGTACTCTACGCCATACCATCCACAAACAAACGGGTTAGTGGAACGATTTAACCGTACGTTATGCGAATCCATCGCCAAGTTAGTGAGCGATGTAGTGAACTGGGATCTAATGATACCGTCCGCTCTCTTTGCATACCGAACGGCATGGCAAGAAACGACGAGGATGACTCCGTTCTACCTAGTCTACGGGAGGGAGGCGCGTATCCCGATCCATCCGAGGGAAAACAATGAGCTATTGGAAGGAACGATAATCCAACGAGTCTTCGATTTAGTAGAGACACTGCCGCGACAACGAAAAGACACGATAACACGTGTAAGCGCTGCCCAACAGAAGCAGAAAACTCGACATGATCAGG